TTTAGGGTTCGGGGTTCAGGGTTTAAGGTTTAGGGTTTAGGGTTTAGGGTTTGTAAGGGTTTAGGGTTCAGGGTTTAGGGTGTAGACTTGAGAGGCTAGGGTGTAGGGTTTTGGGTTCAGGGTTTAGGGTTTTGCACGGCAAGGGTGTGGTGGAGTTTCAAAGAGTTTAATTGCACATATTTGGCTTTTCCGCTAGGGTTTTTGGCTAAATCGAAGAAAGTTTTGGGGTATTTTCTAGTGTCATGATATGGAGACCATGAGGGTTATCGAGTCACACAACCTATAGGGTTTAGGATGATAGCCATAATAATCACCATGAATTTAATGGTAACCTATGCGGCTCTTGCTTGTTTGAGCATACAGTTTGGTCTTTTGTTGGGCTTATGGTTTGACTTTATCACGCATCTCTAAGAGACATATTTCTGATCACAAGGAGATTAGAGAAACGGACATGATAATCTCGAGAAAACTAATAGACGACCAATAGACGACCAATAGTCGTAGTAGTCGTTGTCGTAGTCCTCGTGGACCCTGGGACTACTGCTGTAGCTATTGGGCTCTAGTTGCCCTTTTTCTGTGGTGCCAGAGGGATACCTAGACCCGAAACTCCATACCCTAAACCCCAAAATGCCTAAGCCCCTCAACCTCAAACCCCAAACCTAAACGATACGCCCTGAACGGTAAAGCCTGCACGGACCTACATCAACTGAGCTTCACCAGCATGTAGTAACGTAGACATACAGGTTTCAGTGATTCAAGTAGCTGCGAACGCTATTCTTCAGGGGCCCTCACAAAATTGTATGATACTGTAAGTTACTATACTGCTTTGAACCTTGAGCCCTAGACCCCTAAACTCTAAACTCTCGAGTGAATGATAGCACAAACCGGAAGTACATTGTGGGAATGCGGCAATTGACATGGAGCGGCGAACGAGACGCCCATGTTGAACTAGGATCCATGTCAGAAGCCTTGCCTTATGGCTACGATTATCGTCACAATAATCGTAGTCCTATTCTTATTGTTGTTATTCATGCTTACCAGTGTGCAGTTTTAAACGGGGTCTTGGGTCTTGGGGTTTATGAAGGTTGAGCAGTCAGATGAGGGGGTTTAGGAATTGGGTTTAGCGTTTGGCACCCCCCCCACCCTAAACCCTAAACCCTAAACCCTAAACCCCGAACCCTGAACCCTGAACCCTAAACCCTAAACCCTAAACCCCCCCAAACAAAAAACACCCTAAATCCTCAATTTCCTGGAGGCCGTCAAGAAGAAAGAAGAGGCCATGCCGACTAAAGCGATTCGAAAAGCTGTTCTGTTGTAGGGGTCGAAGTTATTTGCCAGGACGATTCCACCGAGCTCCGGAATATACGGAATATACTTCGGGTATAATATACCACCCCAAAACCTATTCTGTTTTTTTTGAGGCGCCTGTCTTGGATAGGAGTATGATCTTCCACGTACCAGTTTACGGGCTTTAGGCTTTAGCGTTTTCCAGTCCAATGTCCCTTAACAAGAATTGCAGCACAATTGTTGAGCAAGAGTCGTCATCACTGGTGTCACTGGTGTCGTCGTCGTTCTAAACCCTAAACCCTCAGAGCCGCAAACGCTAAAACCTAAACGTCGTTTCTTTCGCCGGGTCGTTCTTTGCTGCTTCATCTTCCTGGTCAGCATCTCGGGTGGCATCTTCGCTAGGTTCGTCGTCCTCCTCCTCCTCCTAACAGCTCCTTAGGGCTCCTGGATGTAGTTTTTTGTGTTTGGGGTTTAGAGTTTAGGTTTTGGGGTTCAGGGTTTAGGCCCGAAGCTCTAAACCCTGAACCCTAAACCCTGTTCAAACTGTTACCTCCGATACCCGACTCCTTAACCTTGAAGCCCAAAATGAAAACCTAGCGGAGTGCCTGCCAGGTTTCGTCGCTACACCAGGCCATTCAGAGAAAGCTCCATGCCTTCTTGGTAGCACCTGATCCCCAGACCCAATGAACCCCTTAAGCAACCCTACTGCGCCAGAACAGACCCCATACACGAAGCCCTACACCCTAAACTCTAATCCCTAGACCCTAAACTCTAAAACCAAGGCTAGACAGCACTTAAACCCTAAACACTCTTCCTTTGGACTTAGCCGGTGCCGCATTTGAAACGGTCGCGTTTGTGCTCGTAAGGATGTAGGGTGGAGGGTTTAGGAGTTCAGAGACGCTTAAGGGGTGTTGAAGGCTCAAGGGTTGAGGGCTTAAGTTAGAGTTTTTTGTTCTCCCACGGCCCCAAACCCTAATCCCTAAACCCTATATCCTAAAGCCCTAACCCCTTAAACTTAAGCCATCTTAAGCCTAACCCCCCTAAGTCCTAAACCATCAACCCTAAACCCAAGCCATCTTCAACTTAAACCCCCAAAAAGTGCATGAAAGAGCCGAGCAAGATAGATCAGCTGCTCAAAGGGTTGTTTTTCAAATCCGGAATGTCCGGCCGGCGTGAGCTGTTTTGAGTACCGCTAAACCCTAAACCCTAAACCCTTAACCCTAAGCCCTACACCCTAAACCCTCCCTACACCCTAAACCCTGAACCCTAAGCCCTAAGCCTTACATTTTCTGAGCTGAGGATAGAATTGTACGACGACAAGCAGCGGCTGTTTGGGATCGAGGTCGGGACTACAACTCTCTCATGGCATTGTGGCAGAGTTGAGGGTTCGATGTACGTAGGGGCCTCATTAACACTATGTTGCGAACTCTAAAGCTTAAAGCCTTGAGCCCTAAACCCAGTGGGACTCTGTGCGGGGATCGATGTTCAGCAGTTGCCGAAAGCTCATGGGTACTTATATAGGAGTATGATCAAGTGTGCTCAAAGCTGGTCATCACCCCCTAAACCCTAAACCCT